TATCCTTTGTTATCCAAAGTCTAATTGTTAAATAAAAACTCCCCTCGTTATATAAACAATAGCCTCCATTCGGCGCGAAAATATGCTCGGATATTTGTCCGCGGACATTGTCTGTTCCGAGAAGCGAACAGTTTTCCGAGAGAGTAGCTCGAGGAAAACTGTGAGCTTTGGGGAACAGATAATACCTAAGGACAAACATCCGAGCATATTTTCAAAGTCGAATGGAGGCTATTGTGTTTATTATCCTTCAAATATTTTACGCAACCCGCGCAGTTTTGAAAATTGGGGAATATTCTCGGATATTCCCCAGGTTTAGCTGGGGAATATTCGGTCACGGGCCGTGTTTAGACCAGTCGCGCTCGAGCGAAAATATTTGATGGATTATAACATTAATTAGTATCACCCAACTAGTGGATTAATGCAAATCCTGCATTTTAATTGGCTACGCTACTAGAGGACTATTAGTAATAGTCCTCGAGTAGCGAGGACTCATGGGCTATTGACCCGTAGCCCGCACGGCTACGGATCAATAGGCTAAAGGGGAAATATTCATCTCGGCTCGATGTATCAGACACCTAAACTCGACCTGTTTATTCTGTTTTTCGCATTAAAAAATGTGAAATTGAGCTTAAGCCAAAGTAAATATTTTTCTTCAGAAAACATCAGGGACAAATTACAGCAGATGAACAGTGAAATGAAAACCAACATCCGAAGTGAAATGAAAGAAATGAAGGAAAGACTGGACACCTTGACTGCCTCATTGGAAGAGAACAAAGATGAAGGTCAGTTGTAGGAGAGACTTAAGTTAAATTATTGCTGCCAATAATTACGCAACGACCCTTGCGTCTTTCTCGTTGAAAGTGTAATGGGCCATTTCCGAGTTGCCTCTTGCCTCTGTGTCAAAAGAAGTCTTCTTGCGAACCCATTCCCATGAAAATGCTTCTCGACTACAGGTTCATTTTCATGGAAATCAAACTCTTTTTCATATGAAAGGTTTTGTACGAAGACTCATTTTGAAACAGAGGCAAACTTAGGTAACTCGGAAATGGCCTATTTAATTGTGGAAAGAAACTCGGCCAGATTTCTGTTGCACTCTTTCGTACGTAGAGACTTCTCGTGTTGTGTTGCAAACGGCAGGTCTTTTTTGCAGGGTGCAGGGTGCAGGGTGCAGGTTGAAATTTATTTATAACGGGAAAACTGCTGGCACTTAGAAGAGACGTACAGGTGGTAGACTTACCGTGACTGTTACATGATGCTGTTTACGATCGCTGAGAAAGGTGGCTTCCACCTAAGTGCCAAACCCGCCGAAGCGATGGGAGGAGAGTAGAGGGTCCTCAATGGGGTTCTCAGATCCCGCTTTCCCGTCCATTTTTCCCTGTTAATCCCGCTATCCCGCTCTTTTTTGCCTGGAAGTCGCAATCCCACCCACTTTTCAAAGACGTTTCTGTGTTAATGATAAATTTGTTAAATTAATAATTAGTTTAATCATTAACACAGAAACTTTTTAAAAATAGATATCATATAAAAGATCACAAAAGAATTCAGTGGGTAGCAGATAAGTAAGCACAAATGATTATAACGTTTCTTTCCGTAAAAGGTTTACTACTTTGTTTTCTTTTGTCCACGTATCAGTGAAAGAAAAAGATTGTTCATTCCCATATTTAGGAGATGGCCCGTAAATACACTTGACAGTTTCTTTTAAAGCTTTCAGCGTCTTCACTTTCCTTGAAATCTG